ATCACATTTGGGTGAGTGAAACATCCACACTGAGTGTATGAATTTGATACCACAAAACGTAGATTCTTGTTAGTTGTGTGTAGCAGTCAACTTTCATATATCTGTATGCGCTCACTTCTGGAAGATTGGCTTGCATATGGTACATCACATATCGGGGGAACTCGATGTGCCCCTCAAATATCATACACCGGGGCGCTTTTGAATGGCAGACCTACATTCGATCCTTACACTGATGTCCCCCCTGGCGGCTGCACTGTCAAACTCAAGCGTCGTGAGAATTCCACTTGCGTTCCAAATATTCCCTGCTTTGGTGCGTTGGCTATATCTTCTGCCTCCCCTCATCCCTACGGAGCGCAGTGTCTTGGCATTGGCATGCTCTTCATGCCATACTCGCCCCGTTGGCTCGTTGAGCAAGGTCGCGAGAAGGAGGCTCTGGGAGCTGTCGCGTCTTCGCCGGAAGCCCCTGACAATCATTCGGTCCCATTGATTCCTGGAGATCATGGCTGAAGTTCGTTTTGCAAGAGAGGTCATGAAGGCGGCATATCCTAATGCGGGGCCAGTCAGGCAGGTAATCAATAAATACTTGGTATTGATTTCTAGCTGGCCAAAGTCCAAGCGTCTCATTGTTGGTTGCCTTACTATGATGTTCCAACAATTTATGGTGGGTTTTCAAATCAGTCTTTCTATCATTTGGTGATTTGTGGTTTGCCAGGGTATAAACGTAAGTCGTGGGCACATCCTTCTGGAACCAACGTCGCTTACTTGCTAAAGGCTATCATTTATTACGCGCCTACGAGTAAGCTTCGCGAAAGATTAGAATGATTGACCTTGGAGTTGACTCTTATCCGCAGTTTTCGGCCAGCTGGGCCTCGACCCAAACACTACTTCCCTGTTTGCCACTGGTGTTTATGGAATTGTAAACGTGAGTCGTCCCAGTATGGACAACGTCACATATACTCCTAAATTATTATTATTCAAAGATGCTCGCTACTTTACCTGCTATTGTTTTGCTTGATAGTGTGGGCAGGCGGCCTTTGTTGATGTCTGGTGCCGCTGGATGTTTTACTTGCCTGGCAATTGTGGGTTCTCTTGTTACTGTTTACGGCAAGGATTGGCCAGCACATGCAGCAGCGGCTCGCACAGCATTGGTAAGTGCACTATGATATAATGACCTACAGAACATCTTAAACTATCTTACAGTCTTCGTGTTTATCTACGATGTCAACTTCTCTTACTCGTGGGCCCCGATTGGATGGGGTGAGTTGCTCGTTTCACCTTCTTCAAGAATTTAATGTATTCGCCAGTAATTCCCAGCGAGATTTTCCCGTTGCACCTCCGGTCCACTGGCATCTCCATTACTACATCCACCACGTGGTTAGCGAACTTGTGCGCGGTTTGATCACCCTGTCTTTTTTGTATTGATATGCTTTAGTGTCATTGGGCTCGTTACGCCAATAATGTTGGATGTGGGGGGGATGGCGTACTTTATCTTTGCTGGATTTTCTCTTGCCGCGTTACTCACAGTTTGTACGTCAAACCCCACAATCGTGTTAAATAATACGCTCAACTCGCTTTACAGTATTCTTCTTCCCAGAGACCAAGGGTCGGGTATGTTTTTTTACGCGCGCACGCCTTGTCGAACATAACTAACAATGTTGTACAGACCTTGGAAGAAACGGATGCCGAGTTTGGTGATAATGCTAATGATAGGGAGCGAGAACACATGGAGCGTATTTGTCGGGAGCTTGGACTGCCCGTCCGGGTGCTTTTGAATGCATAGTAATGAAATTTCGGACTGGCCTAGGTCATGTTTCCATTGAGTCGATTCATCTAACATACTCCTTTTGCCCCTTTCTACCTTCAACGTCATGGCCTCATCATCTTGAAGTATTTCAGTCAAATATCAGGGACTGGCGCGGCCAAGGCGCCGTTACATTCAGCAATATAATATTTTACTGATGCCCTTCCAAGTGCATAATTCAACTAGGTTGTCATAGGGAAGAGTGATGTATATATAGATACATATTTGCAATTGTCACTAATTCGTACGTCCCTCCTCACTAAGCTATGTACCTGAACATAGGCGCCTACAGAAGGTGTCAGCGTATATTTATTCAGAGGCAGATAGTGTTCACCTTATCCGCCAATTTGCTTGTATCCACATTAGCACCTGGTTCCGGACGCCCATACTCGCGATCGCGTTTCGCATTATCGTAGATGTATGACACCCACAGCACTAGCGCGCAAACAGTGGCAAACGCCTCGAGGCCGCAAGATATAGCGAAGCCGGAGCTGCACCAGCGACAATCAATTAACACATGCATACACAGGGCGAGGGGAGAAGGGTGGGACGTACATGTACCTCGGGCCGTCTGTCGAAGGGTATATGTGCGAGCCGAGGATACTCCCGCATTGTCCAATCGCCATGAACATCGGGATGCCCGTCGCTTTCTTGGTCTCAGAGCCGAGATGTGTGCAACTGTTGAAAACGTGAGCTGTTGTGAGGAGAAGCGTGGTTAAGTGATAAAGAGCGTACACCATGCAATGATTAAGCCAATGGCAGTATATGTCCCGCTCGTGATGCAGAACACGGCGAAGTATCGCACGTGGACATTGTTGGGGACTGTAAGCAAAAGAAGGTAGCCTGAAATGACACATGAGGGATACTTTGAACATAAATCAAACTATGTGCCACGTACCAATAGCACCGACAGCACATGCACCTGCAACCGCTAAGCCACGGTTTTGCATGCGATCGGATGTGTAGGATGTCATACAGAGGACGATGGCAGCCACTGCATATGGCGGTACTGTGAGTAACTGAGCGAGCGCGTTGGCTGGAAAGAAAATATCAACAAAGAATACCTCCATCAAATCACAAGGTAATACACACTGTACCCAAAAGTCGTGATGATCGTTGGCAAAAATGCCGAAATACTTGCCAGAGCGCAGTTCACGCCAAAGTAAATCATTCCACCGGTGTATATACGCCAATCTAGGAGAGCTATCATGATGTGTTCTGGGGTAGGACAATTCTATGAGCCCTCGCTACATAGTGTGAGGATGGGGAATTGGCTTGCCTTTGTTGATTACAGCACCAATATCCGCGCTCGTGCCCCTGTTCATGCGCTCCATTGCAATTTCTCTTTCTCTCGTATTCAAGTATCTAGTATTCTCCGGTCGGTCAGGGAGCGCGAAGAAAGTCAGAACACCAAGAAGAAGAGCCGGGATTCCCTGGGAACAACCGAATCGTTAGCCAATAAGTCTACAAAGGACAAAGCACATCAAAAAACGGAATAACCCTGACAGGTGTTTTACAGCATTCTAAAAAAGCGCTAGATAGTACCACTCGCATGCCTGCCTCTCAGGGAGAAAGTGCAATGCAAGAGAGGCTAGCACAGCAGACATTGCGCGGTATGGTCCAGGCAAACGGTATTAGTATACCGTCAAAGACCAGGGAGATTTGAAACATCAGCCGAAAATGACAAGATCCCAGAATGTAAAACACCATGACACCCGGCCAGATAAATGCGAGCGGATCAACATCTTAAAATACCACTCGTCCCTTCACCAAACATGGAACACTGGTACTAACCTCAATAAGAAACAGGACTTTCCAGTCCCACTCTCCTCCTACGCCAGCGATATACGGTCCGTACCCCACTTGCTGCACACCGAACGCGATAAGCCCACCGAAAGCACCTGCAACCGCCGCAAAACCAAACCAGTATGCCATGCGCAGGCCCATTTCGGTGCGAGTGTAGAAGAACGCTTGTATGGTTGTGTTAAGAGTCCTGTTTCTCCACGGGTTTATTGAGTGATGCATGACTTACAAAAATAAAGTGGAATTGCAGGGCCAAAGCCAGCTTCAAATATGCCAAGACAAACGCGGGCGGCTATGAGACTTCCAAAGTTGAATGTCGTTGCCTGCAGAAGAAATAGCATGCATCATGAGCAATAGTTCGGGCTCAAAGTTGGCAATAAAGAAGACAGAGGCTGCAAAATGGTTGAATGTGAAAGAAGTCAGGTGGGTATTCAAACAGGGTAGTCGGAAAGGTCTATTTGATCTGCAGATAAAATAAATCAAACATCAAGTCATCAGCACACGTCACTGAATTTACGGCAGAAATTGGCCGCTCTGACGCGCTGGTAAATTACTAGTGTTGATAGATACGTCACAGGAGGAATTGTTCATGAACAAGACGTTCCTAGTAGCTAAGGAATGATCTTAAGAAGAGACAGAATGTATACATAAAGATGAGCAGCAGGATGACTTGCCATTAACGTGGAACATATACCCCATCCAATAGCCGCGCACGCTATCCAATAGGATGGTGGAAACAACTTTGAGGTTATCGTTGCAGGCACTTGAAAAATAATCTGGGAAGTAATAAATCAAAACTAGGGCGATAAAATATAACTGTATTACTCACATACGAAAAGAAAAACGCCGAGTTGACCCAATCATACAGTGTACCAGTAGGGTCGCCACCAAGGTTCTCCTCAGTCAGTCCCTGTAGGCGTGCATTTCCAAGATTCGTGCGATCAAGATCTGATTCACCGTCAGTACAACATGTCAGACGGCTCTCATGATGAAATTTCACCCACAAGCAAAGAGATAGAGCAGGCATGTTATGGGCAGAATCCTACGGTCAAGCTTGCGCACGAGCCTCTTCTCTTCATCAGACGTGGCGATGGGATTATTGCCGCCAGCGTCACTTGTGGATCTGGTTTCCCTCTCATCGGAAGATGGGTGTTTTTCTTCGTCAATCATAGTGGACCGAGGTAGACCAAGGTGACTCGTGCACGTGAGCGAAGTACGTAGCGAGCAGCTTCGCGATATTAAAGATGCTGGCCGAGCGCTCGCAGAAGCAAGAGAACAAGAGGTACATTAGATCCGAAGACTTTGAACGTTTATAATGCACGAGTCAGGTGGACTGCCATGTCATCGGCTGCTAGCTGTTTCTGTACCACGGCAATTCAAACAAAATGGAGGCGCTACAATGATGCCCGGGCCAGCTGATGAGAAGAAATCTCACGCGAAATCGGAATAAGTTTACATAACTTGGTCCGCTGGGCTTTGGCCCCCGCATCAAAGAACTATTCCTGGGTACTATCCCCACAGGGTAATCTTTGTTGGTGAGGCATGGGCGCACGCCGCACGGGCATGATAGCCACCTGCCCCACAGCTTCGGGGTGCTCCTGCGGATATACTGTTATGCGTGTTTGAAGGTGACGTACATCGAACTGTCCAGGTGAAATTGCAAACTCGAGTAGTGATGGTGACGATCCGAAGAAGTAGAAGCCTTACTTATGCCAATGAGTACGTATCGCGTGGAATTACGATACTCATCCAAGGCGATATAGTGTAGTGGTTATCACTCGGGATTCTGACAAGCGCTGATTTCCCGAAACCCAGGTTCGAGCCCTGGTATCGCCTTCACTTTTTACCTTTTTCATTCGCCTCATTCATTGAACATGCATGTCTCTACCGATGATCAGTTTGAGGAGGGCCTTCCACGCACTCGGATAGCGACCCAACGACTCCCACGACATTTTTCAAAGTCTTTATATTATCACCCTCTGCGATAGACAATGACAATCTTCGGGATGATATGCTTCAAGTACGTCACGGTCATATGCAAGTAGGGTTCCGCACGGGTAACACCGCGGGTCGGAAACTCAACACCATACCCGTACACCGACCCGTAAGCACCGCGGGTACATTAGCAAGAAGAGTGTATTAATGACTCGGACAATAAAATAATCGGACGACCTGCACAAAGAAGCTCGCGGAGTTCACGGTCATTGACTATATTAACCAGGCGATTGCTTTCAGTGATCTGTTTCACCCGTCGAGCACTGAAACTGATGTTAACATCAAGAAATTACACAGATTCAGATCATTTACCAAACTTCCGGGTTTGTATGTGTCCGATGAGGGTAATGAACGGGCTGTTGGCCTTGGCGTGCAAATGCTGCATAGACGGAGCCACTATAGGTAGTGCTGACATCCTTACCCTTCATGGCATTGTTGACAGCATCCTCGCCAAAGCATCCAATGGCATGGTGCTTCAGATTAGTCGTCGAAGACTTATCCCTTGTATCCTGATAGCGGCGCACGCCACCTAAAGCTGTCTTACACTTCCGTGCACCGCACGGAAAAAATGACACAAGCGGCCATTGCGACTCGTCGGTGAGTGGACTTGTACTAAACGGTTCTCGAGTTTTTGCCTTGGCTTTATGGTAGTAACTCGAGCTTCTCTGTAGTAAAGTGTCAGCTTGATAAATGGTTTAATAGAATGAATCGCAGGGCGCAAAAGACAAGACAGAAATCAGTATAGCATTTAATTGTGATCCTCAAGCTCTCAGAGATTCAGGGAAAGGTGGTACGGAGAATCCTAGCACGGTGTTCAAAGGCTGTCAAAGTTCCCAATTTGGTAGGTCATACCCGTCCCAACACCGCCAACCCGCGGTAAAGGGTCGGGGTGTGCTCAAGGGTATGAATATCCTACACCGTACCCGTACCCGCCAAACCCGTTAGCATAGAACCGCGGTGTTACCCGTACCCGTGCGTTTCCCTATATGCAAGGTGAATACTACATA